AGGAGGATGGTGGTCTGCCGGGGACCACACAGCATCAGGGAGGTGAGGGATGCCACAGCTGACCGACAGACTGCAGGGAGAGGATCCTACAGCAAAGGGGGTGGCCCGTCACAGGGGAAACAAGGAGTCCTGTGGCAAGGGGCTGAGCAACGGGGATCTCTGAGGGATTGCTCTGCAGGAGGAAGCAAGATGTGAAGGTCCTTGAGGGACACAGGAGAAAGGACATCCCAGAGTCACAAGGAAGCAGGAAGAGAGAATGACCCTGCAGTTTCAGAGAACTCACACTGCAGGGACACACGCCAACGCTATGTGTAGGCTTCAGGGTGATGGTTGGGAGATGAATAAGGTCTCAGATCCCCCTCATCTTACTTCCAAATGCAGGAAGTCTCCAGGGGTCATTTTCAGATTTCTTAGCCATTCAAGGAAAGTTCCAGTTCCTGCAGTCCTGGAAACTTCCGAAACGGCTCTGCAAGGGTGGAGAAGGAAACGCTCCAGCAAGTGAGGAACAGTAGTAACAGAACAAGCCATGTGTCACCCAGGTCTGGAGCGGACCAAAACCAGCAAGAACGAGAGCACTAGTATTATCAGCGGGCACGTTTGAAAGAAAATGCCAGCTCAGTTAGATGGTTGTCCGTACAATACATGATTCCCCAACCAGACATCTGGTTTGCTTTCATGCATTTGCTCCCACCCCAAATGGGATTATCGCTTGAAGCCGCTGATGGCACATGTAGCTTATATATTTTACTAGTTATAAACAGATTTCCTTTTCTCTTCTTCAAATTAACTGAGCCCATGACACCGGATTTGGATTCACCTCCCAGCTCTACCATTAACCTTCTGAGCCTTTGGGACAAGTCATTTCATTATTCCACGCTTCTATATATTAAATGGGGATTTTCTTTGTAAAGAGCTTTGTTTTCTAATAATGAAACGGATACCACAGTGGCACACAATTATTGTTACAATAAAGGGAATTAGTGCAAGGATTTCAGCTCAGTAACAGGAAGGAAGCAATTCTGCAAAGAAGTGCTGCATGTGTATCTTAAACCTCTTTGTAAAGCTCTAGACCTGTGTTCAGACGAGCGTAAGCTTCCCTGGATTGAAAAGCAGCATCTATTTTTTGGTAATGCAATCCCTTACCTAGTGTCAGCGGGTTCTCAGCAGCATTTATAAAAGCAACGCAACCAAATTTCTCAAAATCATCTTCTTTAGCCTGAAAAATACAGAAGAAAATAATCATTCCGCTCCAGCCCTAAACTGATCTAAAACAACTGGATGTCTCCTTTTCTCAGAATGCCTAAATCATAGCATTTCCCATAATTAGGTCCTCCTTTGTTTTTCTGGCTATGGAGAGCACCCCTCTGAAAATATTTGTTTAATGCACAGCTGCTTCAGTGACCAACATCCAGAAGACCTGGACTAGTTGAGCCCCAAAGCAAAGCCCCCCCTGCGTCCTCACTGCTGACCTTGCTCCCCTGCGTGTGTCGCAGGGCTCCTGGGTCATCTCATACCTACGTGTGACCCAGCAAACGTAGCCACCCTACAATTTAGAATCATAGAATCATAGAATCATTGAGGTTGGAAAAGACCTCTAAGATCATCGAGTCCAACCGTCAACCCAACACCACCAGGCCCACTAAACCATGTCCCTAAGTGCCTCATCTACACGTCTTTTAAATACCTCCAGGGATGGGGACTCCACCACTTCCCTGGGCAGCCTGGTCCAATGTCTCTCTACAACCTCCTTTCAGGTGGTTGTAGAGAGCGATGATAGTACATCTGTCCTTCACAGCGCCAGGAGGGAACCCTAAAAAGACACTAAAAACCTATCAGCACCTCAGTTCATTTGCAAGTTAGTCATGAACCCAAATAAAAGCCACTTCTCAAGCTGAAGTTGAACTCCTACCATAGTTGAGATAAACATCCCTAAACCCAAAGAACAGCCTTTTGCGAGGAGATGTGAGTGGGGAAGGGTCTACAACCGAAGAAGACCAAGTTAATTTGGTTATGAAGACACGATCCAAAAGTTTGTAGGACAAATCCTCCAAGCCTGTTCACAGCTGGCTGGCTCACCTTCCTGCGCAGGAAATATGCCTCCTTCTAACGTGTGTCTTCTCTGATCTCTGGACACTCATGTGCTAATGTGGTAAAGTTTTCAACTTTTAAGGCAGTTCCCTAATACTTCTTGAGTCTCTGATACTCACAGAGACCAGATTTTGGCTGCTTATGTTCACAGAGCACAGGTCAGAGGGGTTCTTCAAACAGTGGTGCTTCATCTAGGGAAAAAAAAAAAACAACAAACCAAACCACAAATGGTTCATCCTACAGCAATCCTGTACGTCGTGTCCTGGGACCTGAGCCCCAAAACCGGACCTCAGCTGTCCCCAGGTGAGGGGGGCGCCCGGTGCCTTGGATCGTGGGAAGGGGGGAGAAGGTGGCACCGAGATGGGGAGGGAGAGGCAGCTACAGAGTCCGTCCACCAGCAGGATCTCCCCAGCTCGTCAAAGTGCTATCAGAAAGTTTAGGCAATAACAGAGGAAATCTGCACTCACCAGAAATGGCTCATCTAGGACATTGCCTTCATCATTTTCTTCCATGGAGGCAGACTCTGGGGGCTTTCTCCTCTGCTGCGCTGTCTTCCCAGTGGTCCCCTTCTCAGTCCAAGCCCTCGGGGTAGCTCTGCGTGCCAGCACCCAGCGCCCAGACCCTGGCACGACGATGGACCAAGGCAGAGGAGATGGCAAGGTGAGCACGCAACCCTCCGAATGTGCCCTTCTCAAAGCAGCTGCACTCTGCCTGGTGTTTCAGCCCGGCAGTGAAATCCATCATTTTAAAATCCCTTATACGGGGAAATACTGAAGTATAAAATGTTCGGTGGCCATGAATTTAAGATAGGAACGTTAAAGCTCCAGCCAGAGCCATGGAAGAGGAGAAACACACTACTTTATAGATGCTAATGGAGCCATAGGTTGCAGACATGGAAATGTGGACTGGAAGAGCCTTCTGGAGATCTCCAATCCAACCTCCCACCCAAAGCCGGACCATCAGCAACGTTCGATCAGTCAGTCTTGGCTTTGTCTAGCGATTCCATCACCTCCCAGGGTAACCTGGCCCAGAGCTGCACCTCCTCCCAGCGAAGAAGTTCCTCCTAACGGCCAACCTAAACCTCCCAGGGTGAAATTTTTGGCCATCTGCCACTGTTAAGAGTTTGTAGCTGTCCTTCAGGTAGCTGTAAGCCACAATCTCCCCTTGGACTCCTCTTGGCCAGATAAAAAACAAGCTCAGCACCCTCAACCTCTCCTAGAAGGTCCTGCGCTCCAGACCCCTGACCAGCCTAGTGGTCCTCTCCGCCACTTCTCAAATGTTAGAAGACATTTCTGCCATTTCTAAGCATTTCACAGATGTGACTCTCAAAGCCCAGAGAAAAAGGAGAAGCTCCAGCCCAGAACAGCTGCTGGAGAACCACACTGTGCTATCCACGTGCCTGCCTGAAGCTTCCCATCGTGCAGAGGTGCCTGCTGGAGCCCTCATTTAATGGGTGCCCTAGACATCCTGCCCTCTTCATTTCAGTGAAGTTTTAAATTATTTTAAGACTTTCTGGGCACTGTTTTAAGTTCTGTTATCAACTGTTATCTGTGTTATCAGCTGTGATGTTGATAAAAGAAACCACAGCTGAATGTACCCTCTATCTAGCCCAACAACAGGGTGGATGGTGGACCTGCCCCTATGGACATGACATTATTCTGCAGGGAGACTTCACCAGCAGCACTCGAAGAAGTGTCACCTTCTTTGCTTGCGCACAAGATGTTCCTGGCAGGGAAGCAGTTAGTTGCATAGTTGCTTCCATCACCCATTTTATACAGTCTTGTCATAGCCATCTTGCCTGCAGCGTTACTGGGGAGAGTGGGAAAGAAATAAATGGGTTAAAATTTTCACTGGCTCTAACATTAGAATCATAGAATCATAGAATCATTGAGGTTGGAAAAGACCTCTAAGATCATCGAGTCCAACCGTCGACCCAACACCACCAGGCCCACTAAACCATGTCCCTAAGGGCCTCATCTACACGTCTTTTAAATACCTCCAGGGATGGGGACTCAGCCACTTTCCTGGGCTATTGTATTGTATCACATTGACTTACCATTGCAGCCGTAATGCCTTAACAGAGACAGAATTCAGAATGTGATTCATACGTATGATGTAGCTTCATATGTTGTAATTAGGTAATTCACACTGTAATTAAATAATTATGTCAGACTTCCGGATGAAACTTTTCAGAAAAGTGTGTCATGATGGGCCCACTCTCCTCTACGGTTTTGGTATGACAGAGGTATGAAGTTTGGTGTGTCAAACACCTGGACACTACCATGCCCAGAAGCCAACCCTCATTCATGTGAATTCACGAAGCGTGAGGGCCTCACCAAGGTGTCTAAGGCAATGGCTGCCCTTCTCTGACACGCTCCAGCACCTCAATTACTTTGCTTTAAATGGCTCTTTCTAAGCGTAGCTGCAAATGAAGTGTCAGCCTGTAGGCAAAGGAACGCTGTCAGGGACACGTGAGGAGCATCACCTCCTAAAACAGAGAAGTAAATGAGGTGCCAGGAGTACGCGCATTATTTTCCAGCTCAAGATGGAGTCTGCAAAACGCAGACACCGGTGCGCGCGTGAGTCGGACTGTGTGGACGACGACTGACGGTATTTCTGCTTTACCCCTCATTCCTCCTTCCCCTGCCTCCTTTCCCTTCTCACTTGTGGAGACTCCGGGAAAAGAACCGCACCGGTCACCGCTCCCCAAACCTCGGAAATAAACTTCCAAGGCGCTGCATTGCTCGTCCCGTGCCCTGTAGCAGGAGATGGTCTCCCAGTGCCATCTGATGGTGTCTCCACACTCGGACACCTCTCTACACCACAGTTTGACTACGGTGTTCACTCACGGTGCCGGTATTTGGGGTAGCTCTACCCTGCAGCAGGCGCACGCTGTGTGTTCATGCACCGATATGAGCGGGAGGGCAGCTGTGCGCAACGTTGCCACGGCACGGCACCGGCACCGGCACCGGCTGGGTGAGACGCTGCTTTGCCACCGCGCAGCGATGCTCAGTGCAACGCGGATGCTGGCACTGCCGGTACACCGAGATGGCAGCGGCACGGGGTACAGCAGGACACACCTGCACGCCCTGGTACAACTGACACATAAGCAGAGCCCAGCACCTACACCCATCCATACAAGCCCTACACCCATGCTCCCCACACATACCCCACGCCCACCCCGTCATGAACACGCACCACCCTCACTCCTGACACACACCCTCAGACCCGTTCCCTTACACCGACACATACAACCACTGCACATACGCCCTCACATGAACACCCGTACACACGCCACTCGCACACAGCCCCACACGTACTGGATACACCGCCACACGTGAGCCCATACACCCACGCATCCAACACACACTCCTGTAACTACACCCCCCCAACACGCACCCATACACCCCACCTACCCACGAACACCCTCACGCACCCCGCTCCCGCACACACTCCCACTCATCCCAAAACATAACGCACATGTGCCCCCACAAACACTCAACACACATCTATACACCCTCCTGACACGTACCCCTACGTACACACCCACACCACCACCCCCAACAGCCCACACACTGACGCACACCCCCACAAAAACACCCATTAACACCCTCACACACCCCACTCACACCCGCATATACACCCCACGCACGCCCCACACATAAACACGCCCACACACTCCTCACATACACCTCCTAAACGTACCCCGGCATGCACACAACCCGGGTCCTTAACACCCCGAAACACTGACACCCACCCACCCCACGTACACCCACCCACCCACTCCCCACGCTGACACCCACAACGATGCACACCCCACACAAACACCCACGCACACCCTCACACACCCCACGTACACCCCCCCACACACTCCTCGCACTGGAGGACACCCACAACCACGCACCCCCAGAGGTACATCCACAAACACCTTCACACACCCCACCACACACACTCCCCGCGCTGCCAGACTCCCACAGCCACGCACCCCCACACAAACACCCTCCCACGCCCCACATACGCCCACCCCTCACATACACCCCACGCAGACACCCGTGGGCGCCCTCCCGCGCCCCACTCGCACACACATACACCCCCGCACACCCACCCACGACACCACAGACATCCCCGCTCCTCACACACACACACCCCCTCCCCCTCACAGCCACCCTCCTCACACCCTCCCGGCGACCACAGAGTTCACGGTCCTCCACGGCCCAGAGGGGCCCCGCACACGTCTCCCCCTCACCCTCCCCGCGCCCCAGACCCCGGCAGC